TTTGAAAAATCGAACGTGACGAACTTGTCTTGCGTCTGATGGTAAGCGACTCGCTTGTCCACAACAATTGCAGTACCAATTACCACTCTGAGCTTTATATCGTAAAGATTTGAGGAACATTGCTACTGCGACCGTAACCCTGGACAAGCCCCATGTGCCTGTAATTCCACCAGCACCCTTACGCTTAAAAACCGGAACATTTGGCAGCAGAAATGCACATGGTGGCAGTACATTACTGTCGTCCACTAATTAGTGACTGTTAGTGGACGACACTGTACAATTAATACAGAATATTTTTTGGAATATACGGAGGCGTACACATAGGTCAGTAGTTGGCCTGTTTATATTTCAGTGCAAACGAAGGTTGATATTTTTATTTATAAGAGCTGTATCGCTAATGCGTTACCAGGAATATATGGCGCTTATTTCGTCTCTATTTCTGGTTATATACTCGATGATCAGTATATATCCTCAATTTTACTATACACCGTCACAAGACAATAGGATTCTTTCCATAACTTTCTGATAGTGTTCAGGTGCACAAGATATGCTGAACATCAGGCGTTTGTAGCGGAATAGTCCCTTGCCAGATATGTGTACTTGGATAAATGGATTGATGATGTTAATGACATCATTGTCACGTTGTATTTGAGTTTTTTAGTCAACTTGATATAGCCTGTATACCTCAGTACATAAATATTCCTTTCGTTTCGATTTTACGAAACGTTTTCATTATTAGCATATTAACTATAAAATAATATATATATTTTTTACAAAGTTTGCATTTTAAGTCCCAAGCGAGCACGTAATGATGACTAACGAGTTTCGTCATATCGCACTGCTATTACAATAGTGTTGTAACTCAAAATATGTGAAATTCGAGATTATGCTAATGCCGAATGTAAAATTGGATTCTCTACACGTCAATAACAGCGCCATTAGAATATTGACAAAACTTTTTGTAAGTCTTTACACAAATATCAGTATATATTTGGCCGAGTAGATAATTCTTTGGATGTCTGTAATAAACTTTAACCGTGTAGGTTTAAATAATAATAATAAATAACGCACACACTCAACATAGCCCCGCACTAGGGAAACCCTGTGTCGCAGGTGCCATGGACACACACATAGACAACCACAAATTACACCCAAACTCACGAGAGAAATAAATGTAGGCCATACAAATATTTCTCCCTGCCCGGGAATCGAACCTGGGACCTCTGCGCGGCAGTCCGGTATGGTAACCGTTCGGCCACGGAGGCTGTTAAATATAATTTATATAAATTTATATTATTATATAAATTTAATAATCTTTCACTATTGTATTAACAGTGCGATATGTAAACAATATGTCACAAACGTTTGCACGTTAAATGTGACAAAACACAACATCGGAACAAACATTACATCGGTTTTCGTAAGTACTTTTAATTTTGGTGGTAATTTTCACCACGTCCTTTCTTGGTTGGAGACATCAATAAAACATTGCAGTAGTGCAAAAATTGTCCTGGTAATGGAAGCTCGTAGATGCCATTTTCATTACTATTTTTTTATTTTATTTTTAACAGCATTGTTTCACTCTTTAATGTTAACGTTGTCAAATCACAATATTTACATACTAGAAATTGCCTAAGGTGGGTGGGTAGATATTATTAATAAAGCGTAGGGTGGGTATGGATAGATTAAATCACAAAATCGCTCTGCAGTGTACACACGACCGTGTCTTCTGTGATTACGCAATGTTCCACGTTTCGTTCCCATTTATCTATTCAGTTTTAATTACTTTCAAAGTTTTCTTTTTAACGGAATTATTAAAATTAGAAATTATTGTTCTGTATGAACAAGACTAAGATATTCCTTACACCTATCCAGAGGTTAAAAACAAAAAAAAATACAATATTATGTAGTCCTAGCTAAATAATATTTTATCTTTAATGTGACTCGAACCATGTTTGCTTCAACTTGCAAAACAATCCTTATACCGCTAGGCCACGACGGCCTTACTATATAGCTGGTTGAAAATTGTATTCTGTGTTTAAGTAAGAACTATACGTTAAAGATCAAATTGACTTAAAAACTTTCTTACAATGTCATTCACTTATGAGATGACCAGGAAGTCATATCAAAATAAATTTTACGGCTCACAGGTTAAAGATTAGGTTTGTTTAACAATTTTCTCCACATTTTTGTGCTCAGAACCAAAAGGTCGACAAAGTCGGTTTGGGAGGTCAGATATCTTGTGTATGTAAATTTGAATACAGCGCGTTTCTTGTAAAATTTCGAGGTAAGTTTGTGTTTTTTTTTCTATCGTGATAATTTTTAGGAATCGTGTTTTCACACAATATAGAGTCAGTCTTAGAATAATAACGCATAGAATGATAGTTTCATATCAAACGAACTGTCACAAGTGAGGCAAAAATCAAATTCATGTAGGCTAGTTTTAGCAGTAGGTTAATTTCCGGTTTTAGTGAATATTTATATAAAAATACAAGTTGATACGCGTTACTTCCTTGTGGTATGTGATGTTAGTATCTATTCTATGTTTGTCTGACGTATTTTTACACTCATTTACCGCACATTTAGTCATTTTTAGCTAAAATTCTTGAGCTGTTCGCGGTGCAAGTTGACCTTGAGCACTGAAGGCCCGCCCGCTCGTGTAGGCGCATTGGGCGCGCTTCAATTTGCCTCACTTAGCGTGTGCGGACTAGGTTTCTATGCGTTATTATTCTAAGGAGTCAGTATATATCCTCAATTTTACTATATTTTTTTCCGAAGTGATTGATTCAACACTTCACTGTTGTGCGGAATCAACCAAATCCATTAGTGGTTGTATCGACTTTTTCGGGATAAACCTCAGTCCTAATTGCTTTAGGAATGAATCGTTATTACTTGCAGATAATTATGATAACTAAATCGTTTAGTTATCTCAACACGTAAATAAATTTGACAAAAGTATATACACTTTCGGACACGTAATTCGAGCCACCACGCATTTTAAATTTTAAGTGCCCTAATCTTAAACAATGTTTGATTGATCAAAAACTATTATGCAATTTTGAATCTAGCATACTAAACGTTTTTTCCATAAGTACTTGTTGGGAATTTGGATTTGCAAAACCGGGGAAAACTTTTTCTTCGATGATAACTCTATTTTTACATTCTAGCCCTTTACGGCAAAAATGCAAGGTGGCTCGAATTATATGTCCGGGAGTAATAATGTGTCGGGGAGAATATTCGTATTATATAAATTTTGGTGTCAGGATATTAAGGCAAAAAAAGCTTTTTTTCATAAATCATTGAGCAATATTTATACTTAATTCTACTGATCTCAAGTATGCATCACTGGCCCATTAAGTGCAGAGTAAGGTGAAATAATGAAACATTGCGCAATCCTCTACGCAGCCTTTCCCAAAGTGGGCGTCGCCTTTGTGACGTTGGGTTTGTGGGATTTTCAATGAATCCGAATTTAATATATCCCGCACAGTATTGCCGTCTCTTCTTTTTTACTTCCGACATTGTTTTGTTTTGAGAAATACATAAGTAAGTGTTGAACTTAAGTACTGCTTATTTATTACGCGCGAAGCCGGAAATGAAAATAAAATAAATATTACGTTGTAAGCAGCACGCACCGACAGGAATAAGACAAACATGCATAAATAAACTCTATCTCATTCGACGCTCAATCGTACTCAACAAGTATTCTATGAACCAGCCGATTGATACAGGAATGCACAAATAAAACAAACAAAAACTTGTTAAAACATGATTGCCCGCGGTCTATTGTCTACGAAAATTACCTAAGTAGGAATACTAATAACTATTAAAATGCGAAACTGTGTCTGTTGCCTTTTTATTTATTCAATAAAACAGGACAGATATATGAACTCCACGGAGAGAAATATCGAACCGAGTTAGTTTAAGCAATCTCTTAATTAATATTAGTTGAAGTTGACAAGTTGTAGTCGAGAGTCGAGAGGTCAGTCGGTGTCTAAGAGTCTTCCTAGATGAAATTACAAATCTCCCCCTAAGCCTCTACAGAACGCCCCCATTTTTTTGGGTCTCTTACCGCTCCCCTCTAGGCCTGCAGCGCCCACAAGGGGGCGTTATCGCCCACTTTGGGAAAGGCTGCGTAGAGGATTGAGCAATGTTTCATTATTTCACCTTACTCTGCACTTAATGGGCCAGAGACGCATACTTGAGATCAGTAGAATTAAGTATAAATATTGCTCAATGATTAAAAATTAAGAACCAGTTACGCGATCAACGATTTTCATCACCTGCAGAGGCTGTCGAAGAGCATGAAAAATATGTTTCAAAGATTGTCACGGAGGAGTGGCATAAATGTTTTCAAAATTGGTTCATTCGTATGAAAAAGTGCGTTAACGCTAACGGAGAATATTTTGAGAAACAATAAATTCATTTCTGACCATTTATAGTATTTTTTTCTTATTCTTTCCGGATACTTATAGTGTGCCCCACGTACACACCCTTACCATAATACATACATACATGATACATACCTTACCATACCACATTATAACTGCCTCCGTAGCTGGACGGTTACATAGGTTCATATATTATATGTATATGGGTATATTTATCTCTCTCGTGAATTTGGGTGAAATTTGTGGTTGTCTATGTGTTGTCTCCATGGCACCCGCGATACAGGGTTTCCCTAGCGCGGGGCTATGAGTGTATGCGTTATTATTATTATTATTCACAAAAACTAAAACTTGAGATTGTACGTTACTCAAATAATTTTTATTTCATAAGTAAGCAAATTAGATTTGAAGTCTTTGAAGAACAGTTGCAGTGCCACTCAGAGCTTTAAATCGCAACTATAACCATAACATTACTATTCTTGACATAAATTGCATTTTCATAAATGTACTGTGACGCTAGCTAAGAATGTTTTCATTCCCATTTTCATGTCATTTCTTTAAACTTATCTTTCAAAGACACATTTGCTGTAATGTCTCGTTTTTACATTGTTACAGTTCTGGATCAGGGCGACAGTAGGCCGGCAAAACAGAACGTGGTGGAAACAGCAAATAAGCAACAACAGACCGTCGAATTTATCGCCGAAGACGAAGAGGCAAGTACTCATGTATACTATATTATACTCGGGTATAGTACTCGTGTATTATATTTTAAGATTTCCTCAAAGATACGAATGCTACGCCATTGTTGTCGACGCCGGTGCAATTTTCAGCTATGTTTTTGTTCATTATTGATCTCCTAATATTTCGCAACTTTCTCATCTTTATAAATTGAAAATTTTTCGTTCTTCGCACCAATTGCAGTTTTCGCATTTTCGGCCTTTTTAGCGACAGAAATATCCATAACTTCTATTCAATCTGTATCGCCTGAAGCCATTTTTGTTTTCCTAATACACCCCTTTTTGAGGTGTCACACTAGTTATTATTTGCACAAATATTATTCTCATGGCTCACATCATACTTTCATAGCCAACACTATAATTCACTGTAATTTAATTATGAAGAATCAATAAATTTTCGCGAAAACGTTCGTAAGAAGCATCCGTCTGACACGACCACTCATAGTAACTGGATTGCTATATGAAAAAATATTATACAAAAATATTTACTAAATATTATACAAATATTATAAATATTATAGTTGTATTGACATATGCTCAAAAAATAAAATTTTATTTTATTCCATTCGCGACTCTTTTTATTTCAAAGACGTTACAACAAAGTTTTAACTTCGTCAAGCAGTACTAATCCTTTTATCTATTTTAGTAATTAGTGTTTTTTACGAATTACTTCTTACCGTACATTCTATCTTTTTTGTAGTTGTAGTAAAATGACAGTTCATTACGTAAAAGTGTTGCCTGCTTGCAATCAGCTAGTGATTGCAGTCGACGGTATCTAATTACCATACTGCCATATCTTAGATTGTGATTTTTCTCCAATAGTTTAATTTTTTGTCGTTATTTCGCAGGAAATCGTTATAATACTTTAGTACCGTCCTCTGTCTCTTTTCAGTTTTTTTATTTTATTTATTGCATGATCAAACTCCTTCCGTCAAATACATTATAACTGTTTTAATAAAAAAAAACAAGCTTAGAACAAATTCAAAATAAGATCACAAATGTGATCATAACAATTTTTGTTGAAGAAACCTTTGAGTTGCTTGATGAAGTTTGGGCAGTCGAAAATAACATTTTTTAACATTTAACTTGATAAAAAAACAAGTCATTTTACAACTATAATGACTTGTTTTTATATCAAGTTAAAATAAACTGCATTAATTAAAAATAAACACCACGTGTTGAATAAAAAATTCTTTTGTTGAATGCAAAATGACATATTTTTTAGTATTAATTACAAAGCAATATTTTCCTTATGAATTTCCTCAAACGAAGTTCGTAAGCGCTGGTCTCACGTGTTTATTGCGTAATAGCTGCCATGCCACTAAATCAGCTGACAGAGTGGCTATCCGCACGTAGGCACTGCCCCACATAAAAGTATACAAACAGCAGCTTTTCAAAATGGGAAAAGCGCTAAACGCCCAATATACATTAAAGTGTACTAAATATCTTCTTTACGCCCAAGCAAGTATAGTATAATCCCTCAGTTTTGTATGAAAAACGTATTTTTCTAGAGACCCCATGGTCATCCGTGGCCGAACGGTTAACATGCTGGTCTGACACGGTAAGGTCCCGGGTGCGATTCCCAGGCCCGGGAGAAATATTTGCATGATCTACATTGATTTATCTCATGAGTTTGGGTGTGATTTGTGGCTGTCTATGTTTGTGTCTATGGCACCCGCGACATTGGTTTCCCTAGTACGGGCTATGAATGTATGCGTAATGAAAAAAATATATACAATAATATAATAATAAAAATATAGAATAAAATTTTAATGCGATATTTTCATTATAATGTTCACTAGACGTTTACACGGTCTCAGGTATAATATTATCGTGATCTGAATCACTTCACACATCATTTACATTTTGATGTGTACACGTGGTAAGGTCAAGCTAAAGAGTTGTATTTAGTGAGGAATTTTGATAATAGTGCTTCAGTGTATGGTGTTTTGTATACGTGCACTTAAAGTCTTTGTAAGGTCATAGCCATATTCATTTTTTAAAAGTAATATGTTTAATAAATGCCTTAAAATTGTTTATCTTATCTTTTAATCAGTAATAGTTTTTTTGTTTTAGAACCAAATTAAATATTTAACAACTACCTATTTATGCCAACTAACATTAATAAATAAGTATCGTTTTAGTATTTACGTCATCTACGTCTGCACCTGTAAAGGCGCTGGTTGCGGCGAAAAAGTTTCTAAAATTTCTCACTAGATGTCACTAGCGGCTCAGAATTCAGTACAAACAAAGATCTTTAACAAAAACACGTAAGAGGATTTCGACAACTACAATCAACATTATAATTTGTTATTCAAATATTAAGTTTTATAGTAAACACAGAGTACATCTTGGTAGCAATTTGGTAACTATTTGAAAACTCGACCTCACATTATGCAATTGTAACGTCATGGAAGCGGCGAAAAAATACAATCTCATGGGATTTCCCTAGTACGGTACAAACTTAAAAAATCTTTATTGAAAATTGTAGGTACCTTACGTCATTTGCAAAGTGTACTAATTTGCTGTTTAAAAAACTAACAATTACTGTATGACTGAGCGTTCTAAATCAAAATTATTATTTTTTATGATAAACCAATTGGAGGAAATCTATTTTAAAGTGTAGCGACCCGTTTAACTATTTCAGGTAATTTTTATCTATGATATTTGAATTACATATTGTAAATGATAAATATGTACAAGTATCTATTTACAAGGAGCAACCGCTAGAATTTCCTGCGGATTCATCTCAGGGGAATCTGCCCTTTTTAACCGACTTCAAAAAAAGGAGGAGGTTCTCAATTCGACTGTGTTTTTTTTGTAACACATGTTACGCGATAACTGTACGGCATTTGTGAACCGATTGCTAGAAAGAAGGTACCTCAGAAGTGGTCCCATTTAAATTTGAAGAATATATTCCAACTTTTAGAGTGGCGAACTGGAGGATGAATGACTTTTGAGGTCGGTTTTTTTAGTACTCTATACTGAGATTATTATGATACAAAGGGACGAACAAGTCATACGCTTAGAGTTAAGCGACACACCTGTCCATGGCAGTTGCTATTAATTGCTATTAGAACTTTAAATCGCAAAGATCTCAAGGACACTGCTACTGCGTCTGTCACCCTGGGACACAAGTGACAAGTCTCATGTGCCTGTAGTTTTATCAGCACCCTTACCCTTCAGAACCGGAACGCAGTAATACTCACATTACTGATTGGTCGCAGAAACGGGTAAGGTGGCAGTACTTCCCTGGACGATCTTTTTTTTTTATAACATCAAGTGACGGGGCGAACAAGTCGTGCGCCTGATTGTAAGCTACACGCCTGTCCATGACAATTACAGTGCCACTTAGAGCTTTAAACTACAAAGATCTGAGGGACACTGCCACTGCACCTATCATCCTGAGACATAAGTTGACAAGTCCCATGTGCACAGGCAATTACAGAATTGCACCAGCACCTTTACCATTCACAACCGAAACACAGTAGTGCTGTCATTACCTTTTGGCGGCAGAAATAGGTAAGGTGGCAGTACTATCCTCGACGAACTCTTTCACATGAGCTCTACTGCATTCCGAATGTGTGGTACTGTATAATCAATGTGACAATTTCAAGTATAATTTTATAACTTACTCATGAAATAAAGACGTATTTCAATTAAAGAAAGGTAGCAAGGTAATGGACACTAAGCAACGGAGATTGCCTTTCAATCATCATACAAAATGTTTGTGCCTGCTGAACCAAAATGTGTGAAACAGATGATTTCTTTTTAATTATTGCTCATAGTTCTCTTTCTGCGAAACTTTGAATCATTTGTTAACTTATCTATGTAAACAATTGTTTCTTGTTACACGACTGAATCATTCTTGTCCGTATATTTTATCAAAACTTTTAGGACATATGAACTAAAGAACAAAATCCTCATACAAAGGTACACATAATGACCACCTTACATTCAGTTTAAAAGCGTATCGAGAGGCTTATAGATGACTCGGATTTAGTAGAGGCGAAGCTGCAGAGCCTTGAACACCGTTGTGAAGTTACCTGCGTATCGGTATTCTACAGGATATATCACGGAGAGTGTGCGATGGAACTACACCATTTAATACCTTCCCCATTCCATCATCAGGGGACTGAGCATAGGCTGGGGTTCCACTCCTATGGTGTGGATATTCCAAGGATTCGCACGAAGCGTTACGCCATACTTATATGTCGAACGGCTATGGAGTGGAATTCCCTGCTTGCAGACGAATTCCCGGAATGCGTAAATTAGGCCTTTTCATGTCGAGAGTGAATAGGTATTATTTAGATGAGCATGCTCCATCGTCATTTTCCATCAGTTAAGGTGGAGATCAAATGCGAAGTTATTTTTTTATTAAAAAGAAAGGACTGAAACAACCACACTCTCTCTGAAAAGATAAAACAATTCTCAATTAACATCAAGTATGTAAAATAGAAACAAATTCGCAATCCATCTTCTCTTTGAGACGTAACTAATTTCAGAGATAGTAGTTTTTATTATGTGTAAAAAGTAGTTTTTATTATGTGTATGTTAATAAACACGCCCTGGTTAACGTACTTTTAGGTCTCGTCACTACACTTTGTTATAGTACATTGAACGTAGATTACAAGATATGCGAATTAGTTTATCGTAGTCGACACGCTTGGCAGACTGGTTGGAAATCACGAGAAAGCTGCACTCTAACAAACATAGATCAAATAGACCTTATCGGCCATCTTTCAAAATTATCGCCATTCGCTTTCAGTGATACTGTAGTTATGCAGAATGATCCGAAAGATTCTAGCCATCAATACAAACATGTACACCGTTACAGCCTGAGCAATGTGGATCCTGAACATACTTCTTCCATCATATCGATACTTCAGGGAAGAAAAGACGTAAAAGCCAAATGTACAAAGTGCAAAGCGAGTTAAAACATTTATCTTTATAATGTTTTGGTTCAAGTTCTTTTT